ACAGAGAGAAAACAAAAATCTGGAAACCGGATCCACAGGTGGTGGTCCCTTTATGGAAACCAGTTTAAGTTTCTAAGAAGAGGGGCAGGGCCGCTATCCGTCATGGGTGGGATGGTCAGGAGACTATCCTGCTCACCACGGTGCGTTTCACCTCAGAGAAAACAGGTTACTGAAAAGGTTTCAAAACTTGTAGCTGGAGAATTTCTGCTAGTCCTTTCAGTCGTAACAAAGTAGGAAAAATTAGTTGACCTTTAATTGCTCAATGTTCACTTCCTCCATGAAGTAATTATATGGCCAGTGGGTATTTTGTGTCTTGTGAGGAGAGTTGCAGAATTGGAAAAAAAACACACAAATAAATAAATACATGTCCCCTGTAGAGAGCATTTGCATTAAAAACAAAAACAAAAAAAGTTTCACCTGTTTTTAATGTACAGTTGCAACATATTTGATTGTTTTTCCAGAGTGGAGAAAAGCAAACATGAAATATCACGTGCAACCTTCTCATTGACCCACTACTGTTAGCATCTTATCTTATCGGTCTGTAAAGGCATAATATTGATTTAGTAATACTCAAGTAATTCTTTTAAGACTTTACCTCAGTGTTAAGAGTTCCTACACATTGTACCTCGTTACAGAGAAGTACTTGAAGATTTATTAAATTATAAGGTACCACGTTACAATAAGGCTCCCTTTGCCATTTGTAAATGGTAGTAACTCATCAATAAAAAGTTATAACTGTGTTTAAAATGATCTATTAACTTACAAAGTGTTACAACCTAATTAATAACCAGATTATAAACCATTCATAGACTGGTAGCCTTATTGTAAAGTGGCACCCATTATAATAGGAATTCATATTTGAGTAATAATAATTTCCCGCCTAAAAGACTGTGCTTTATCTAAGGTCCTACAACTCCCATAATTCACAGTAGCATTATAAAATGCACTTTGTTGCGCCAATGCCGCCTTTTAGAAACCGCTCACTGACCCCAGCTACTCGGGTGACAAGGTGAGGAGACAGTTCTAAGGATAAGCCAATACTCTGATCATACATTTTACTTATTTGTGCATCTCAAGAAGAGACTGTTCAGTGCTGGCATGGTGAAAACTGAACTCTAGTGCACATAGTGGGTATATGATAATAAGAGAGCCATTATAAATAACTGGAAAAGCTGAGTAATAATAATAAAAAATAATAATACATTTTATTTTCAGCGCCTTTCAAAACACCCAAGGTCACTTAACACAACAAATCACAAATACATAAATAAAAAACATAATAAAATTTTAAATACACAAAATTACCCATAAAATGCACAAAAATATAAAATAAAGATTAAACTGCATTTGCCAGCTTAAACAAGTGAGTTTTAAAATATGATTTAAACATGCTAATGGAATCAATCTTGTGAATGTCCAATGGAAGCGAGTTCCACATATAGGCTGCAGAATAACTAAAAGCTCTACCACCCATTGTAGTCAGACGAGTATGTGGAACTGTAAGATGGAGAGGTGAGGAGGATCTGAGGGAACGAGATGGTCGATTGATTTGAATAAGATCCGAGCATCATCATGGAAACAGGGTAACTTGAAATCCATAATACAGAACAAACAGGAGATTGCTACAAGCAATTTTTTCATTGTTCAATAAAATCACATACCACTGTTAGCATCTCTATTAGGAATGTTTGTATAAGGCTTAAGCTCTAGTCACAAGAACTTCAGTGACTCGTTAGGCCTAAAGGTAAGTTTGGTCATTACAGTTCCAGGCCATGTCAAACAACTTAGAGTGGTGGGCCTGTGTTTTGCATACATACTGTACTGTAGGTACCTCCAAGAGGCTTTATGGAGAACAGAAAATAAAAAGAACTGATTAGTCGAAAGCAGGGGAAGGACAGAAACAGATATGTAAACACTTATTTCCACTGTCTGAAATATTAAGAAATGAAAGTTAAGGGGAATTGTTGAAGTCAAGGCAAGACCTGGAAGATCAAGAAAAACCTCTGGAAGAGCGGATTAGAGACTTTTCAGAAAAACAGAGGAAACCCCCATGACCTGCTGGAAGGTTTACCCAACACAGGAGCACATTCACCTTTATTTTATTTTATTTATTTATTTTTAGTTAGCGGATCGTTTTATTCAAACATAGTGCTAGGGAGTCAACTAGGCATAAGTGCAGCTAGGTTGTGTTTCCAATGAATGTCCAGGTACAAGTTTGGAGCAATAACTACACAGCATATTCCAACCAAGCAAAAACCTAATAAAACTACTCAATGACCAGACGTGCAACATAAGAAGATTCAGTGACATAGAGATATCAGGAGTAGTAGTGCATTGGTGCACTGTGCAGCATTGCTTGCACAAACATGGTATGCATAGATCAATCATCAGAAAGAAAATTTACTTGTGATCTCATCCCCAAATCCAATTGCCACATTTGAATAAGCTAGAGGCTTTTTTGGAACCAAGTGCTGTCTAATGAAGCATAGACTGAACTCTTTGGCTATAATCACCAAAGGCATGTTTAGAGAAAAGATGGAGAAAAAAGCACTTGCCGACTGTTAATCATAGGGGTGGATGTATTGTGCTGTGGGGTTGGGTGGCAACCAGTGGCACAGGAAATAATGCAGGAGCAGAGGGCAGAATGGATTCTGCAGAGTATCACCAAATTCTGGGATCTAATTTCTGTGAAGTTGAATACAGGCTGGACAAAATAATGATCCAAAACATGCCAGCAAGGTGTTGGAATGGCCTCCAAAATGACCAGACTTACATATTGTGGAACATTTGTGTGCAGATCTCAAATGTGTAGTAAAGGCACCTTGATCAGTGGGAACGACATGAAGACTTACAGGCAGGAGGTTCAATACCTGGCTGCATGCTGTGCTGACAACAACTTGGCCTTCAGCAGAAGGAAGACTAAGTTGTGGACTTCAGGAGACACACCTCCAGCGGGACTGAGGTGGAGCGTCACCTGCACATTTCATCTCTCTCTCTCTCGCTCTTTCTCTCTCTCTCTCTCTCTCTCTCTCTCTCTCTCTCTCTATATATATACACATGAACCATTGGTGTGTCTACTTCCTTAAAAATGCATGTATGATGTGCATTTTCTATTGAATTAAGACACGTATAATTGTTCATCTGTTTCTAGCACTTTTTGTGCTATTTTGCACTTTTGATTAGATGCCAAACTGCATTTTATTACATGAGTATGTGTACTTTGTGCAATGACAATTATGTTGAATGTAAACTAATCTAAAATGCAAGACAACCTAGGAAGATAAGGAAGGAAGAGGGAGACAGAAGACTCTCAGTTGGGCACGAGAAGCATTTTAGTCTTACAAAGTAATGACTGAAAGGTTGCCTAAACTTTTGCATGTGCCACATTTAATGTTTGCATTTTTGACTCTGTTAAAATAATCAAATAAATGACAACTATACAATAATAATAATAATAGTTAAATATTGGAATGTTAACTTTTTTCAGTGCAGATGTTGTGTTTACGATGTTTTCCTTATGAAATCAACAAGATGTGCAGTTTGGCCAAGGGTGTTTAAACTTTTGCAACAAACTACATGGTGCAGCACATATAGGCCCCGCCAAGAACTATTAGTAGATCACGACAGTATTTGCTACCTGAACATACCTTAACAACGACAATGGCTTGGATTGTATATTGACAAAATACTAAGCAGTTCACTCCACGCTGCACAAGAGGTGCTCATTGCTTCTTTGCTTGGTAGAATGAACCACTGAAAATGAATGATTGGTAGAAGCTATTTCTGTTCAGTGGTACCTGTAGTTTATGTTTAGCTTCTAGCTTTAGTCTATGTGGACAGTCCTGAAGGATTAGCATTGCACATATAAAACGAATCTTACTTAGTACAGAGCGATACTGCTGCAAACTATGAGATATCCATGCTATAGCTCCACCTACCTTTTTCCTTTTATTCCCTAAATTGCCTTCTTTTGTCTGGCAGAGCTTTGACAGGCATAGCTCTGTAATCCCCACACTGGTTTTAAAACAGGTCCGCTCACTGCAAAAGTCATGTTTTCAGTTATGTACGATTAATGCAACTAAAAAACCTGGACAGTGTGCTTACCCTGTTTGGAGTGAAGGAGATGGGATACACACACAGTGTGAGCCGCACATTGTAGATACTAGTTATGTATTACTATAAAATAAACTCTTGCATTGTATTTAAATACGGTGGCGTTGTAGCTTGCTAGCATGTTATTGGTTTTATTTCTGCCGATGCTGTGTGCGTATGCATGCTGACTGTTCCCTTGGTTTGTGTGTGTGGCCTGTAAATTGGCATCTTACCTGGCATTTACTTTGCCCATCGGTGTGGGTTAGCCTAGTAAGATACGTGTCAGACTCACCACAACCCCTCACTGGAAAAGCTATTAAGGTCAATTGACGAGTAACGTTTATGTGTAAACCATAGAATATATATGAACTTGTCTATATAAAAATGCACTCTATATTAGTCTATATCTAATGTTTAGAAAGTTATGAACTTGTAGTTTGAATTTGAACAAATGAATTATAATTTCTTTTGTGTAGCTGCAATTTTTAGTAACTTTTTAGAAATGTTCTTCTAAGTATTTATTCAATCGGCAAAATAAAGTCTATGTAAAAATGAAAGACAAAGCTATGTATCTGTCCTTGTCTAGTTTTCTACACGTGATCTTTTTGCAGACTTGATTTGTAAACACAAAAATGGAAATTTTATTTTTCTTAACATTACTTCAATTGGTATTTTCTTGCATGATTACTGTTGATCATCATTTATGAAAGTATTCAAAAGTGTCACTTTGATATTAAGGTGATGATTAGGTGTAATTATTTTGCCCATCGTACTTCAAGACCTAGATTAATAAGTACACGGTATGCAAAACTAAATCAATGATATAAAAAATATTGTAATGGCTGCCATTTTAGATGTCCTGCAAAGGAGAAGTTGATTGTTAATATCTGATTAAGCAAAGGCTACTCTTACAGATGTAAAACATGTATCACTTTATTTAAAAACAAAAATATGTTTCAACATGTTAAGTCATAAATTCATAAATTTCATCAGGTCTGCAAAGTGTTACAAGGGTGTGAACATTTGATTAATGCAGGGCCCTTTTATGACCGTCAATTTACTCTGCAATGCATTATGAAGCAACATATAAAATTTACACAGCTGCAGTTTCGCATGGCTTAAGTGATGCAACAGTGCCTGTTGCTCCTCTTGCCCCCCCCCCCCCACCCTTGGACTTTGTCCTGGCATCTCAGAGCCCTTAAGGTGAACAAACTTGGGTGGAGCAATAAAAACAGGCACGGTGTCCTGGCAACCGGGATACAACAACTGGAGGGGGGGAGCAAGGGAGGGGCGACAGCTATTCAGTTGCTTGGAGGAATACGACACTCCTTCTTTTCTTGCTCAATATCTGGAAAAAAAAAGATGCAAAAATACAGTTATATATCAGTTTTCAGTGCCCCAGCACTCAACACAAATACTGTGCCAGTAATACACTATTACAAGTCATAATTGTCTTTATTTGTCATGTAAAGTAACAATGCCTAATGCTGAGACCCAGCGCTGGAGTTTGGATTTGGGAAGAACTACCCCAGGTCCTGCACTCTAAGGCCCCTGCTGATCTCCACTGAGCTTTTTTTTTTTTTTTAGTAAAAAAAACACAGATCAAATGTCTACTCCAAACCAACTATATACCAATTTGGTTAAAATATTATAATCTATAATAATATATGTTAAATTTGGCCGACTGATCCAATCCCCCACCACAGTGAATTTTACTGACTAAACTCTCACCCCCAAATTAACCGCTGCCCCCCTGTACGTTTTTAACTGCTTCTTGTTTCTCTTTTGGCTCTAAAAAATAGCTCAAATGGCCCACTTAGGGGTCCCCCTACCCATGTCAGCCCAGGGCCCCCAGAGAGGTTAGTCTGCCACAGCAGAGGTCTCAAGACCCCTCACTGGAAGGTATAATGTGATGGTAATGGTGCCCAACCACAGAAGCTAAGATGAGAAGACCTCAAAGAACATTGATATAGTAGATGAGTCCCTGTCAGCACATGATCATGGACTTCCATTGACTTCTCCATTGATGCTTCTTCCATAACCTGATTGCTCAATAGCAGTCAATAACCAAGGTGTTCCCCTTCACCCTATGTGAGTCAGAATAATAAGCCACCAGATCTTTATGGTTGCCTCTACCAAATAATCGAGCAGAGTTTGTGTTTTCTGCAGAAGATCATTTGAATGTTACCGCAAATTTTTTTTTTTATTAAACAGTAGTTTGGAGGATTTGATCAGTCACAGTAGAATGAGCTATTACTAGTCTATGGATGGATGAAGATTTTTTTTCGCCTCAAAATGGAATATTAGTGTTTTTGGAAAGTGAGAGATGTGCGTCCAGGAGCAGCATGGAGTGAGCAGCATGGAGTGAGCAGCATGGAGTGAGCAGCATGGAGTGAGCAGCATGAAGTGAGCAGCATGAAGTGAGCAGCATGGATGTAAGACCCACCTTCCTTGGTTGGCAGTTTATTCTTTTCTGCCGTGTTGGTCTTCTTTAGACATCTCTTGTCAAAGGTCTGTACCTCCTTACTGACAGGGTTGTCACTCATTTTGGTGGATTTTTCTAAATTAGATAGATAGATTGATAGATAGATAGATAGATAGATAGATAGATAGATAGATAGATAGATAGATAGATAGGTAGGTTACATGAAAGAAGACACGCCTCAAAAAATGTAAACACTTTTCTAGTCTAGTGAAACATACTGCAGTTGTCTTTTGCAGACAGTTTCTGAAATCAGTAGAGTCACAAATACTAAAGCCAAACAAAGGAAATGGAGACAGTTTTAAAACCAAACTGCATAATAGTCCTGGTTGATTCTGCACTCTGATCTTGGCCTCAAACTAAAACTGCAAAGTCCAGGCATGGAGAGCATTATCCGAAGTGGGAATATCTGTAATCACCATGAACGAGCTGTTTCATGCATCATACATCAATATGTTAATTTTGATAATATGTTAAAAAACGGGGGATTTCCATTGACTCAATTGAGTTAAACGTTGGTAGGCATTCAACTGTATTTAATATTTTGGATTCAATCCACACCTTTGCAAGACTACACCTGTGCACACACATTCAAGGTCAGTATTTTTCCAGGTACACAAGAAGGTAACCAGGCATGCAAAACACAGTTTATAACATAAGTATTAACACAGTCTTTTTCAGCAGGATGTTATCTGTGAAGTCCTATACTTTCATCAGTTAATATTGCTTCAGAGGCAGATGAGTACCAGAATCCTAAAACCTATAAACAATACAGTACTGTATTAATATAGTACTGCACACAGCAACTTGCTAAGCACTATTTTATCAATATACTGTAAGTTCATCCAGTCTCCAAAATCGCACCATATAGCTTCCAGTTGTTAAATTAGTCTTTAAGTGAAGCATCACAGTACCCTTGATTAATAAAGACAGTTTCACTTATACTTTGTGCTACTGCAATTAACTTTGATGCAACCTTAAATTAAAGCTTCGGTCAAATCAGGGGTGTAGGTTTAGTATCCAAATCAGCCTCGAACCCCCGGCCACCTAAACACGAACGTTTCTCCCACAATATATATTAGTAGGGACTTGGCCCCTACCGTCCATACCGAAATACGACCTTGGGTCTCACCTAGAATGAACCCGTGATAAGGTAAGATTCCACTTATCAACAGCTCATTACTCACACGGTACACGAAAAAATATATTAAATTTAATTTGGCAAAGTAAGCAATATTGCATTGCATATCTGGAGATTGCGCAAGCGGCATTACACAGAACGCTATAACGACATAATTTTGTCGTTGCAAACCCGTGCCTACAACAATAACATTCAGTCACGCTAACCATGTTGCGAATAACCGCGCTCCTACATCCTCCCTCGGGAAGACAGTGTTACATTCTTCCTGCTCTCTAAAAAATACCACATTTACAATGGAGTTTTCACCACTCGTACGGGGGCGTTCAAACGGGAATTATCGGCAAATGTATTAAAAATGCGATATTAAAAATGGACAAGAGGCGAATAAATAATAATAATAATAATTCCGTTAGTTCCTGTAGTCATGTCAAGCATATGTCGCTAACAAAAACAGATCGCGTTTAATATGTATACAGAAATAGGCTACCAAATCAAACACTGCTTATAGTTATATAAAATAAAATATATTGGTATATTTAATGGATATTGCGTGTAAGCCCTTTTAAGAAATAATACGCTATATATTCTAACAACGTACATGCGTAGATAAATATCTTTAGGCATAACGAATAAAAAAGTAAAACGTTTTGAGACAGCAATACAGTTAACATCCATATTAGGCCTAGTCAATATGTTAAAGCAAATAACGTAATCTAATTCTACACCTATCCCTTCTATCTTGCAAAGTGTAATGTTGTTATATAATAATGCATAATGAAGCGTAAATATAAGACCCATCCTTTCATAATCACTATAGTTTAGCTGCTAGGCGCGAAGTATAATATTATACAATAAATAAAATAAATATGATCCATATAAATATTGACTTCATATTTGTTATTAAATCCAGACAACAATTATTACCTGAGATTTTGTGCCCGTAAAGCCAGCGATATAGTCACTCCAGGGACGGATCAAGTCTGTTTAAATAGGGCAGCGCCGCCCAGCACTAAACAAGGCACCATCCCGCTTTCGGTCATTGGTGTTTCGTCAGCCAATCCGATACAACACCGAATAAAGCCATGGCCAATCAAACCAGGCAGCGCACCTTCGTTTTCTTAGCAATAAAATCGGGCACATAATGATACATCTACTATTTCACATAGTTGTCGTGATCGTATAGGTTGTATCTTGTAAGCGTAGAAATTATTTTGTCATCAGAAATAGATTAAAAAATACGCCAAAATAGAACATTCAAGCACATCATTTAAAACGTCCACTTTAGTAAACACATATGTTTCAGTGAAAACCGTAACTGCAGAACACGTAAAACAAATTGCAGAACAGATGTAAATGCTCTGTTTGGACGTACATGTAGTGATTTGATCACTCCTGTGAAAATGGAACTCATCATTTTTCTTTGAAGATCATGCAAGCCATCATGGTGCCTATAGCTAATTAGTAATACTGTTACCTCACATCTCCACAGGGTTGCCAGCTTTGGTATATTTGCTCCAACCATAAATGCTTTGGTCTAAGCAGGGGTGTAGGTTTGGTTTCCACCTTGGTAGGGACCAAATCAGTCCCTAAACCCTGGGTCTCCTGAACATACTCGCCACTCCCACACTAATTGTAGGGGCAAATTGTGTCTAACTGAGTGAACATTGTTCAAAGTTTTCCAAAAAGAGTGATTTTCAATTCAGGACAAGACTGCACACACATGCATACACATGTACATGCATTTAACAGTTTTATTACATTGTAAATAGTACGTAGGACTTGCAAACTACCCCAACACTTTTGATGTAGCTAATTTTAGGTTTATAAAGGAATAATATATGTAGATTTGCAGTGAGATTTCTAGCTTGAGTGTGAGAGCCTGAATGCGTCACGACAGATGCGTGAGATTTGGCTACCCTGCCTCCATGTCTGAGTGCGTGGGATTTACACGTGGTCCTCGTTTTCACCAGGTACTCAGTGTTGGAGTGGCTATAATTAGAAGAATCAAGAGAATTCCTGGTGGGCCGCCCCGTCGAGGGCTGCAGACACAATACACAATAACACAATAACTTTATGTTAATGCTATAGCTTACTCACTGGTTCAAAAATGATGTGGTTCCCCCTGTGACCTTGCACTGGGTATGTAGCTGAAATATGTCTTTGGTTGCATAAATAGCAGATAAGATCCAAAAAATCAAAAGGAGTCTTAATGATATTGAGACGTAACTGAGCTGTCATAGGAAACAACATACAGAGGAACAGTTAGTGGTCAACAGTAGATATCAGGAACCCGCTGCACAATAGCATTCTTTAAATCTGGCTACTGCAGATTGTTAGGTTTATTTGTTACAAATGACAGAGAATGAATATATGAAAAGTTAATTATCCTATAAATTGACTAGTTCACTAGTCTACGTTTTAATATCAGACTAGTTATTTTTTAATATCAGAATAGTATACAGTGCCACCTCTGCCAGTCACTGATGCAGTAATACATTTTCATTTTCCAGCAAATGGAAATTATGTATGGTATCGCATCGTCCATTATACAGTTGCAGCATTTCACAACTGCTGAGACATATTTCTTGGAACTATTCCCACTTTTCCCAAAGCTCGAGAAAACAAAACAAAAGCTTCTCACTTCACGAAACCTCTAACTGGTCTGGCAAAATTAATCAATGGACTCAGAACCAGTTATCTTTACTAAAAACCAAACACTGCTTTCAGATAACACACGAACCCAGACATAATATAAACAGTACTGAGCACTCATTACACAGTGCAGCAAAAAACTGAAAACAGTCAAAACTGTTCCTGGCATGACAAAAATGTGGATATGCCGAGTTACTGAGCAATATTTTAAATCAACTGTTCCAATGACTCATTGGCTACTACATGGCAAATACATTTGTGAACAATTTTGAGTTGTATTTTTGCCGCATGTGCTTTCCATTTTGCATCGCAATGCATTACGACTGCCAACATAATGAGCAATATGTTCTGTGAATGACGTGTTTAGAGGTTTGCAAAAAGAGTGAATGCGACTGGCAAATTGTGTCTAATCGAGTGAACATTGTTCATTTCCCAAAAGACTGATTGTTTTGACAGTTTTGTTCGGAGGGATAGGTTTCAGTGTTGGCAAATCAGATAAAAACTGTAATATACTGCCATCTGCTGACGAGCTGTCTAACAGCAGTTGATACCAGGCTTTGTACACAGAAAAGTACAGTTATGCATTATCACGTAATACAAGTTTGAAAACAAGATTAGTGGTTTTAAATCATTGGCACAAATTTAAAGGAGAAAGAATCTCCTTAACAGCATGTAGGACAGCAAGGTACTCCTCAATACCTGCATTCAGATCACATACAATCAGTTTTAAACCAGACAAGACTACTATTTTTTACAATTAGTTACATTCCACAAAGATTTTAAGTTGCCCACACTAGATCATGGCTGTAGGCTTTCCTATGTTCAGCTAGGAATATCACAGCAGTTAAAATATATATCTCATTCTGTTGTTTATTGCTTGCTATTGGCAAATTGTGTCTGATTGCTTGTATTTAATTCCTTCTTGCTAAACAGACAAAACAGTACAATTATTTTTACAATTTCACAGATTTAGTTTTACCCTAAAGTAAGCCATCAAATAGCACTAAATAAGAAGGGTAAGTAGAATCAGCTCAATTTATGTAACCTAATTCAGCATAAGAAATGGAACTAAGGAAAGTGAGTGTTATTGTTTTCATTAGATTTATATTAACAGCAACAATAAAAATTTAGGCTGCATACCTGCCAAAAACTGATAAAATGAAAACCATATGTCAAATAATAACGTGATTTGGGTTAATTTTCGGAAGAAAAACCACAAACCCCATCACTTTGATCCAAAACATACTCCCTCTCTACAATAATAGACAATCTGACCTATGTAACTAATCTGACCTATGATAAACTCTTTATTTTAATTCTAGACAATGGAATAATATGCTAAAGGAAGCTGCAAGATCTCATGGGGATAAAGGGATTGCCAAAATCAGCAGGGCAGGGAGATTTAAACAACACTGCAGAAGGCATTAAGGGAACAGGAATGAAGGCTTCTTGAGGGAACAGGAATGAAGGCTTCTTAAGGGAACATGAAGAGAGAGGAAACTGAATTAGAACTGGATCAAGGATCAAAGCGTAAGAGTAAGGTAGCCAACCTGTGCCCAGGTCTTATGGAAACTCTTTCAGGACTGTTGCAGAAGTATTTCTGTTGGTTACATCTGTACACTGGGTGTAAAAATACCAAGAGTCTGCAATGCTGTCATTGAAGAAAGAGCGGCTATTTTGAAGAATCTAAAATTTGAAGAAAATTTTGAATTGTTGAAAATTTCTGTAGGTGATTGTGCAATATTCAATATGTATGACTTTATTACCTCAAGGCCTCTTACTATGGGATGAAATACAAAGCTAAACTTGATTTGGTGCCATTGGAAATGACAGCATTGTATTCCCTGGACAGATCTGTCATTTGTTCTGGCTATCTAAGCCATACTCGTCCCACTTTCCCACACTTTCGGAATCAATGACCTTTATGATGTTCCTGGGAAGTTTGCAATTAGTTCCACAGAATACGTTGAGATGACAGATGGTTGTGTTTATAGCCTCCATCTTTACCCTCTTTTGCTGTCTGTTGTGCGGCTCCAATTTTGGGTTGATTTTGGGTCTGTCATGGTCAAGATTTTCAGGTGTAGATTTTCATCCATATAATGCTTTTATGAAATAGTAATATAATCCAACAAAGATCAAACAGAGTAACAATTACATATAGAGTTGTCCTGTTCTCAAAGTTAAGCCTCATCAATTCAACCACCTCTCTGCTGTTACTAAACACTGCTGCTTCAGCAATTTGTCTCAAAATTTGATCAGATCCAGATATTCACCTAAACAACATGTGTGCAAAGGTTGAAAAAGATTTGTAATATACCTTTTGAGTTAGGCCTATTGCGTTAATGGGATCAAAGGCCTGAAACACCCCTTTTGAGTTAGGCCTATTGCGTTAATTGGATCAAAGGCCTGAAACACCCCTTATTAGTTAGGCCTATTGCGTTAATGGGATCAAAGGCCTGAAACACCTCCTTTTTGCTATCACTATGCAGCATTGCTTCAATTTCTGGGGGTATCTGTCTCAAAATTATATTACTTTCAGGTTTGTCACCCATATAATGTATGTAAAAAGTCTGCAAAAAGATCCATAAAAAACATTTTGAGTTGTGTTCACAAAACTAATTGCCTTCTACAGCTCCCATGTCCTTCCTCATCCATATTTTTTTGTGAAGCAGTAACAAGCTCCATCAAATAGGCTATTTTTAACTTCTCACATTCACAAGGTCAAAAGTCATCTGCTTTCACCCTCCCCTTTGCTGCCAATTTTGGAGAGATCTGTCTCAGTATTTATACTGTTCCAGGTTGTCACCCATACAATGAACATAATCTGACGTTTTACGAAAGAAGCAGTGATGGGAAGATGAGTTGACATCCAGTGACTTGGCAGAATCCTGCAATATTTAGACAATTTTATTTATTCATAGTGATCAATCATTATCTGTAATAAAAAAAACAAACCTGAAATTTGGTGGAATTGTCCTTTAAATATCCTGAGAGGTTTATCGAAAAACGTTTTACGTGAATTTGGTACTTTAAAGTTGTTGAAGGTACAGCTATAATTAAGGCGTTTTAGAACGACTCTATGGAGCAAGTGAGCCCGTATGAGACGGCTTATCAGAAAACGGTGCAGGAAGTGCTTTAGATTGCTGTAACATATCTCGAACTTTGGTATGTCTTAATTTTCTCGAAAGAATCCAGTAAAATAGAACCGTAAAATATTGTGCGTGCATGCCATAATTTTATTATAGTGTTAGGCCTAAATATTTATTCGTATAGATAAGTTTTTACTTTAAACTAATAATACAGTTTATTAGACTAAGTTTTAGACTAACCCATTCGGCACGCAATAATAAACTGCTGGATGTTTCAGTATAAGGA